TCTTAAAAGAATCTGGACATGCATACTGTGTGGTCAAGGACCAGTGACAGTTCAGATTAAGAAGAATTAATGCTTTCTTTATCTCAAATACAAGAAGTCTTGCACTATTATGGTTAGACGGAAAAGTATGTGTTAAAGTTCTTTCTGTTTATATAAGCTGAATTCCTCCAGGCCTGATGGACTTGGGAGTACAAATGACAAAGTTAAAGCATTGACAATATATCTCAGGCACCAGGACCCTCTCCTCCGTACTGCGGATGCAAGGGTCTGTCTTCTTCCAATGCAGGGCACCCCTCACAACTTCCACTGAAAGTCAGTCATGGCAGATCATGGTAGAAGGGGAGGGCAAAACTCTTCACAGTACACACACAAGCACACACCCACATACATCCATGTTAAACCAACCTCTCATGAGAGGAAAAACAAATCTTCTTGGTAACTGTGACTATTTGGAAACTATGTCAAAGCAAAGATAATTCTCTTTCCTTTCCGGCACCCTAATGCAATATTATATTCTCATTCTCTTATTTGTTCTTTGACTCTGTCTCTTTGCCTCTCTTTCCCTCCATCCCTCCTGTTCTCTGTCATTGTACCTCTCTGACTCTGTTTCTCTATGTTTATGTCTCCCTACCTCCCTCCTTCCTTTAGAATATTTGTCTATCTCCTTATCTCTGTTTCTTGTCCTCTGTCAGTCTCTGTGTCTTCTTTTTCTCAGTCTCTTTTTCTCTCTTCCTCTTCTCTCAGCAACCTAGAATTCCTGACATTAGTTGGGCAGGACTCATCAGAGTCCCAGCTATGGGCAAGCAGTTAATGCTAACAAGCAGTCATCATCGGGATTCCACACTGGGGCAAGACCATTTTCTTTGTCACAGATCAGTTGTTTTAATCCAGTTGTTTTAGGTAAAACCCATGATAACTCACTATAGTGGTGTCACAGAGTGATAAAGGGTGTGTCCACCCTGGCCTAAAAGACGGCTTCTATACTTGAATTCTTAGAAGTACTCTAACACTTCAGTTATCAATTCTACCTCACTGTTTGATAAGTGATTTCTCAAAATTTTGGTCCTTGGACTCTGGACTTTCCAAGATACTTTTTAGAGGGTCTGCTGAGTGAAAACTATTTTAAAAAGAAAACCAAGATATTATTTACTTTTTCACTATATTGACAATTGCACTGGTGGTAAAATTGTTGGAATTTGAACACAATTCAAGGTGGTAACACCAAACTGTTTTTAGTAGTCATTTTTTTTTTAACCATCATGTATTTAAAGAAAAAAAAGGGTAAAAGAGGGGCACCTGGGTGGCCCAGTCAGTTAAGCATCCAACTCTTGATTTTGGCTCAGGTCATGATCTCAGGGTCATGGGATGGAGCCCCAAGGCAGGGCCCCTGCTCAGCAGGGAGTCTGCTAGAGAGTCTTTCTCTCTCCCTCTCCCTCTGCCCCTAACCCCACTCCCTCTCTTTCTATTTCAAATAGATAAATAAATCTTAAAAAAAAAAAGCCTGTTCACCTAACAGTAACCTTGATGACGTAGTATAGATTATTATTTTTATAATACCCTCTGAATATCTTTTTAATATTCTGTGTGTTCACATGTGAAGTATGCATGTCCCTTTTGCTGCAAACTGAAGGATGTGTTGTCTCAAGCAAAAGACTTGTGTGATGGGTTGAATTGCAAGCTGAACCAACCACTTTTTCACTTACCATCATTTTAATGTGAACATTTGATTTATAGTCAAACTGGAGTTACTGAGACTTAGGTATTTGGTATATATTTCTCAAAATAATCAAAGCGATCTTGTCACTTTAAGGAAAATAGTCATTTTGTATTTCTATTTGTTGCTAATGAACAAATTAGAGCTTTCAAGTGAAAATTAAAATTTTGAAAATCTTTCGTATGCCACCCCACACTTGACAACTTCATGATACTTCTGATGAGACTGGTAGTGATATTAACAAATGTATTTTTTTTTTTTTTGGTGCTGTGTTATTAAACTCAATTTGAAGATGTGCATAACTGTCCCATTGGCTTGGGGCTCAGGCACACTATTTACCTTATAGTTCAGGGGCTCATTAGATATCTAAAATGTGACATGTAATTTGTCTTCAACTTCAGTTGTCCATCCATAAAGTAGATCTAATGTACTCCCTTTTCAGAAAGTTTATGATTATTAAATAGATGAATATATGTTAAGATGATGGCACAATGTAAGAACTCAATAAATATTATCACTCTTTTTATTAATGTAAATTGTGGTAACCACACCTGTTTCATAGGCCTTTTTGGATATTAAATAATACAATAAATGGAAAGTATCTCAAAGAATGTTAGGTTCTTCATTCTTTCTCTTTTCCCCTTTCTCTACCCTCCTCACCTTCAACCTAAAAATAAAACATACATTCTGTAACACAGTCAGGAAAACAGAAACTACACCTCTTTTTTTTTTTTTTAAGATTTATTTATTTATTTTATTTTTTTTTAAGATTTATGTATTTGTTAGAGAGTGAGAAAGAGAGCGCTTATGCACACGCAAGTAGAGGCAGGGGCCGGGGCAGAGGGAGACAGTCTTTAAGCAGACTCCTCACTGAGCACAGAGCCCCAAAGTGGTGCTTGATTCCAAAACCCATAAGATCATGACCTGACCCGAAACCAGGAGTCAGAAGCTTAATGGACTGAGCCACCCAGGCGCCCCAACACCTGTTTTTTTTTTTTTTTAAGGTTTTATTTATTTATTTGAGAGAAAGAGCATGAGCCGGGGGGAGGGGCAGAAAGAGAGGGAGAAGCAGACTCCCAGAGGAGCAGGGAGCCAGACAAGGGGCTCAATCCCAGGACTCTGGGATCATGACCTGAGCCAGACAGACAGTTAACTGACTGAGCCCCTAAGGCACCCCAACACCTGTTGTTTTTTAGCTAAGAAAAAAGTAATATAAAGAATAGTTTGGGTAGCTGCTGGAGAACAGGAACAGGCAAAGGGAGGCCCTGAGGTTATACAGAGATGTGGCCACAGGAAGCAGCTCCACCCTTAGGGCTTGGGAAATCAAAGAAAGAATCGGGCTATGAGGAGCCTGGGAGAGGGACCCTGCAATTCTAAGAGCCACACATGGAGGTGGTGCTTAGCAGCCAGTGTTGGGATCTGAGGAGCTCCAGTGGAGAGCTGTAGGCAGCTCCAACTCAGGAACTCTCAGGAGGAAAATCCAGCAGCCCAGGGCTGACATCTCTCAGATGACAGAATGAACTGGTTCCGGAAGGGCCCAAAAATCTATAGAGAGAAACTGATTTCTGCTAACACAGTAAAAGGATGATTCCTAAGACAATACTGACAGCCAATGAACATGAAGGAGTAAGTCCTTTTTCCCCTTTCTCCTGCCCCTCAATCTCTCTCCAGTGGCCCCTATTACAGAACCTAACAAGAAGTCAGCTGGCAAAAAAGAAACGGGGTGTGCAGAGACCGAGCCCCAAAATCTCAATGCAGAATACAGAAGCTGGTTTGAGGGCTAGAAGATAGTAGCTTAAAAACAGACAGAATTCTTTTTTTTTTTTTTTAAGATTTTATTTATTTGACACAGAGAGAGAGGAATCACAAGTAGGCAGAGTGGCAGGCAGAGGGAGAGGGAGAAGCAGGCTCCCTGCTCAGTAGAGCAGGGAGCCTGATGCGGGGCTCGATCCCAGGACCCTGGGATCATGACCTGAGCCAAAGGCAGACACTTAACTGACTGAGCCACCCAGGTGCCCCCAAAACAGACAGAATTCTTACCTGGACTCTATTGAGAGGGAAATTAGAGCGGCCCTCTTTGTTTAAAGTCTGTATCTGAAGTGAACCTATTAAGAGGACTTGAGATGTCGATATTATTTGGTAAACCCAGCGGACTCATTTTCATATCTAGTTTTCAGGAAGAGAGACTCACTTGTGCCATCCAGTACAATTGTAATGACTGTTTTTGCAGAACTTGAAATCCGGAAGCCGCCAGGAGAGTGAAGCAACAGAATGTGTTCTAAAGTGACTAATTTAAAATTGATCACTCTGACATGCCTCCTTAAGCTTGAGACGTTTCACACAATCAGGTTTTCAGTGTTTTCATTAGTGTGATTTGCATAACCAAGATTTTATTTAACTTTTTTTGTGGAGGATTCTATTGTAATGAAACCAACATAGCTATTAAAGGGATAGACTTGGGCTGATGAATAAATGTGATTTCATTGTATTCTGTGTGATTGCAGTGTAATTTTTTGCAATAAATTTGACTTCTAAGGTATGTGTGTGTGAGAGACAGAGAGAGAGAGAGAAAGCTAAAAATAACAACCATTAAAATTGCTAAATTTTTGCAAGAGGGCATACCTGGGAAATTTATGAATGAGTTTCAGTTTGCAAAATTGTCAAGGCTAGAATATGCATATATATATATATAATGATTATATATGAAATTATGTTTTTCATAATAATTAAAGTGATTAAAGGCAATGAGTAAATATGTTTCAAAATCATATGATGGTTTTATTTTATGTATTCATCTTTTAGAAGGACATCTGCAAGCATCCTAAGAAGAAAAAAGTCCTAATATTCAATTTTTTTCTTTCTCTGACGTACTTGCTACAACTTGTTGGCTCTCAGACTTTCTTTCTTCTACATGCTATATATTGATAGTTAGATCACTGGTTTTGAAACAGATGACTGAAAATACTCATTTTGATGTAGAAATTGTCTTATACCCTAATTGTTATTTTCTAGTATCTATTTAAAAATGCCCATTGACTTACAAAAAGAAATATAATGAAATTCATTTTCTGAAAATACAAGCAATAGTGTCATCAGGGATGGATACATCAGATGGGATTGTGGATCTGTAGCCTGGAAATACATATGTGAATTTTTTTTTTTTTTTTTGAGAATTAGAGCAAAAGCAGTCAGATGGAAAATAACATGAGGAATTTAAAATGAGTACTATTGGAAGGAGTTAAATTTTCTTCTATGTTCCTAAGAGTTTTTGTTTCATTTCATTTAGGGAATCTGTTCGGAGATGGTTTCAAGATGTAGAAGTCTTACATGTGAAGTATCCCAAATGAAGTTGGAACATCGATGTTGAAATTGCTTCATGTTCTGGTAAGAGGCAATGATTCTTAATATGTTGGCCTTTGGAGAATGTGATGAGGAATGTGCTTGTGTGTGTGTGTGTGTGTGTGTATGTATGATGTGTAAATAAAAAATTATGAAAAAAATGACAAACGTTTACAAAAACCCAATGCACAAGTTTGAGATTCAAAAACAACTTTTTTTTGTTATTATTTTGCATGTAATAATCATTCTCTGGCTCCTTGGAGGAGTAGGATACAATAAGGAACTCAAATTAGTTATTATTAATTTCTCACTATGTATACATACAATATTTACATTAGTCAGTATGTCAACACAACAGCCCCAGAAATAGATATTATTGCCCTCACAGTACAGATGTGGAAGATGGAAGTACAGAAAAAGTAAAACCTTATCCAAGATCATGTCGCTAGTAAATGGCACAAGAGTGACTTTCCTATACGCTCCACTTTCTCCTTCCATCTGCCCCTAGCTTTTGTGTTAGGTGAGGAGCCAAAGAAGTAATATAGGTTGAGGGAAAGACCCTCAAGTTTTAAAATGTAATTTAAAAAAGAGTTGTAATTGCCTTCCCTCAGATAGAAAACCGATGTGAAGGAATTTCCTTTCTATTATTACTACTCTTGAAAAGAGAAAGATTTCTGTAAATCATTCGAGTAGTTACTTCGATGATGGTATTACGAAGAAATTGAAAGTTACAGAAAAAGCTGACACAGGAAAATGTGTGTTATAATTTTCCCATTCACCTTTGCTGTAAAATGAAAATCTGTGGCAGGTTTCCCCTATACAAAAACCCTGCCGTGGCTGATTACATAGTTTAATGGAACTAGTACTAATTCTTTCTTTATTGCTAACGGGCATACAACTCGAATAACTTGAGTCTCATTTCCCTTTTTTTACTTATATCATGAGGTTGTAAATAAGACATAATAAATGGAAAGCACCTACAATTCTGCCTGGCACAGAATATGTATTCATTAAATAGAAGCCTTATCAAAGACCTAATGATGTAACAACTATTAAAACATAAGTCATTATTTTGTTTTAAGTCTATACATGAAGATTTGTATTGAAATAAATGTTTATATGAAAGATTCTCTCCATTCAATATTACATAAATTTAGGCTCAAGTGTATTTTATTTGTGTAGAAGACATTTATTTGGGGCAGTTGTAGATTGCGGATTGAAAACTTAAGAATTTCAGTGCAATTAAGTGCATTCATTTATAAATGGCAGAATGCAGGCTGTTTTGTTCTAGACACTCAAAAGAACCATTAGATTTAGTTGATCTAACTATCCTACCTGAACGTTTTCAAACAAATTTCCTCTAGTGATTGCAAACCAGATAACCACTGTGTCCCTGTGAGTCAGATTTGCTTGGGTTATTCAACAGTGACTGACACCTTGGGAGGCTGTAAAGCATTCTCTGGACGGCCTTCATGCTTACTGAGTCTTGCTTCTCTATTGGCTAACAATCAGCAGCATTTCGGTGGGAGCAGATACCATGCCTGCAGTTGAAGATTACATTTTAACTCTGTGTTGTGAAATGGAAAAAAAAAAATAAGCCAATTTTCAATGTGAGATTCTGAGAAGAAGCCTTCAACCATCCTCAAATCCCAATGTGTTTTCACTTTTTGATGGTGCAGTAAAAGCCTATAAAATTAAAGAATGCAATGAAGATATGAGGCTAGAATCTCCAGCATAAATAGACAAAGGCTCCCCCCACAGCACCATGGGAAGGGAATCTAGGCCAGTCTTCAACTATTTTCGATTAGTTTGCATTTTGACAACACTTGCAAAATTGTCCATGTCCCTCCTATGCTGCATTACTTTTCCATTCAGGAGTTTTGCATTTGGACAGAAGCTCCTAAACAAACAATTCCAAGCTTCCGCTTTACATCCAGCTTTGACCTGGTTTAAAAAGGTTTTGTTGTTTCTTAGGGATAGTATTTTTGTCACGTAGGGCCTCCTTTCTCTTTGCTTTTTCTCTGAAATAACCCTATATTTGCTTCATATCTTACTAACTCTAAGATAGTGAGTTACTATCCTCTTTTAATCCCAGTATTCTCATTGTAATGTGAGGATCATAACAGTTACATTCCAGACATTTGAGGATTACAAAGAGTATGTGTACATCCCCTACAACTTAGAACATCACTAATGACATACCATTAGCTATATATGTAGATCTGCTAGGAGGTTTGATTAACATGTGAATGCCCCAGATATTCATCAACAACTTTTTGGGATCTTCCAGATTAAGGATGGAATTGATTCAAAGGATTGGGGTGACTCAAAAGGAAGCCTCAGCCTGAACTTAATGCCTCGCCAGAAAAAATAAGCATTCTATTCACTAATTATCAGGCCAAGGAAAACAGACTTTTACCTTAGGTTTGTTCGTATTACCCGTTTGGTTGTGTGCCTTTATCGTATTTGAATTTCTGGGCCATTCGTTCTCAAGCCTTGAAGTGTTCACAATAACCTGGAGAGCTTATTAAATATATAAGGTACAGGTGTTGTTGTCAGGATCTTACTTCCATAGAACAAGGTGGGGGTGGGTCCTAAAACCCACAATTTACACAATCCTGGTATATGCCATTAACTGAGGCTTATTATTTTTCTTTCTTGAAGCTTTAAGTTTTACACAATCTCATTCTGAAGTATTATTGTTGTAGTTCACATTGAACAACTTCACTAACAGTTAAGACAGTAAGAAACAGTTGAGCTTCAATAATGATTCTCTGCACTTATTTGCCAATAGAGTGACTTTGCAAAGATTTGGATTCCATTAACATATAAGAAGTTGATAGAACAAATAAGGGTTAAGTAAATAAATACTGTCTTAGTTCATAACAGTTGGGGTTCTGATTTGGCTGATGCTTATTGAAAACCTTCTAATAACCAGTAGCTTTCATATGCATTAGTTTATCAAATCTTAATTCTAGTCCTTCTCAGTAGTTAATATCCCCATTCTACAGATTGATAAAAAGAGATTTATAGAAGTTACTGTCTCATCAAGTTCTGAAGTTAGGCAATGATAGGGCCAGGACACAATCTTGGCACCATGTCGGTGTGCAACCACTCCAGCTACTTCATAATCCTAGGGTAATTCAGTTTTTCACTCATGAGAGGTCTTGTGTTATGGCAGCCAGCAGCATAAGCACATATGGGAACAATCAGCTTCTATTTGTTTTGTTTAAGCTTCCTAACACTTAAATCACCCTCACCTGCTGAGTTAGACTTTAAAAGGCATCAGTAGAGTAGGCTTATTTCATCTGCTCTGTAAACTACTCAGAAATTTTCTGGGAAAAAAAAAAAGTCTCACATATCTTCTGCAAATTCTTGTTGTTTTTCACCAATGTGTTTGTTGATTTTCATCAATTCTGCTGAGTGTTTGACTATCCTTCTCAGTTAAAATGACTATGAGAGGGGCGCCTGGGTGGCTCAGTCGTTGAGTGTCTGCCTTCGGCTCAGGTCGTGATCCCAGGGTCCTGGGATCGAGCCCCACGTTGGGCTCTCTGCTCAGCGGGAAGCCTGCTTCTCCCTCTCCCACTCCCCCTGCTTGTGTTCCCTCTCTCACTGTCTTTCTCTCTCTGCCAAATAAATAAATAAATAAAATCTTAAAAAAAAAAAATGACTATGAGAGATTTTTTTCCCCAGTTCAATAGCTGGGCATATAATGATACTATGAATGAAGTTTCTGGTCTCCTTTGTGTCTAGGTTTGGCTGTGTGTCTAAATTGTAGCCAATGTAATATGAAGTACAATAATGTGTGCCACTTCTTGGTCATGTCCTTATGGGGTGGATATGCATCTTCTCCTCTAGTAACTTGGAAAATGAACGTGGAATGGGATGTTCTGCTGAACATCTTATACCATGCAGACCAGGGCAACTATCTGAAGGTGGTAGGACAACAAAAAAGGAGTCTGGCTTCCTGGCTTAATTTATAGAGCAGAACAGTCCAGGATTGTTTCTCTGCTGAATGTTGTGTGAAAGATAAATAGGCTTCACTTGTTTAGGCATTGCCATTGAGCCATTATACATGGTGGGATATACATCCTAAGGATGCATTATGTAACTGTGCGACCCATTGAATGCTTGGCATACTGTGACTCCTTTGGGACGTTAGTCATAGCCCGAAAAGAAGCACAGGGCCCTAAATAAAGAACACTGTAGTAGTTACCCACATATTATGTATCTAGACTTTGAACCATCTCACCTTGCCCATTTTATTCTGTTCTCCTGACCACCTTCCTCCAGCCCTGTTTTTCTTTAAGTTGATCCTCTTCTAGGCCAATACATAAATGTGTTACTTTTTTAACTCTCCTTGCTATGGCATCTATCTTTCATGCATTCATAGTGTGAAGAAGGCAAGTATGAGACCATAGGAATAATGAATCCTGACTTCAGGTCCTGGCCCTGCTTGGAAACATTCAGAGTAAGCTTTTTAAAAAACACATCAGGCGGGCGCCTGGGTGGCTCAGTTGGTTAAGCAACTGCCTTCGGCTCAGGTCATGATCCTGGAGTCCCGGGATCGAGTCCTGCATCGGGCTCCCTGCTCGGCGGGGGGTCTGCTTCGTCCTCTGACCCTATCCCCTCTCATGTGTTCTCTCTCTCTCATTCTCTCTCTCTCAAATAAATAAATAAAATCTTTAAAAAAAACCACACACATCAGGCTACCCAAATAAAACTTACCTACAGACTACATGAAGTGGACTTCTTAGATTTCTGATACCTAGGTAACAGCATCCAAATCCACACTACCTGTAAGATTTTCCTTATTGTCCCTTGCCTTTCACCCAACCCCTCATCCAGTCTATCCTCATTTACATACAGGACAAAACTAAATTTTATTTTTTCATATTTAATAGGTCTCCTTGGATCTTTATTTTAGAGAACATTTTAAATCTGTGGTTATTTCCCTAGTAGCCAAAGAATGCCTTAATGTCTTATGGATGCAGTGTTCTTCTAGCTCCATAATCTAGTCTTGAGTTATTATTCAGTTACAGTTC